GCGTCGCCAAGGATTTTTGGCCGTGGGGGTTGAGCCACCTGGGTCAAACGGGGGTCTCTAGTTTCAGGCCAAGGGTTGCCTTGGTGGGAGGTCGAGCTGTCGTCGAGGGCCAAGGACGGGCGAGTCACCCCGTCCTGTACGACCGCTGAGAAAAAGGTGGAGAAGGCAAGAGCGCAAGGAAATGGGGGAGCAGAGAGGGAAATGATGAGGAACGGGGGTTTCCGTTCCTTACGACGCTTGGTTCGTGCGGAGTCTGCGGACAATGGGGGCGGTCGGTTCGGACTCCTCAGGCCTCGTCACCTGGTTCGTCAAAACCGCAAGGGCAGCCTAGCGTGGGACTTCCGACGACGGGGTGCATCGCGGGAACCAACGTCCGGAAGCTGGCCGGGAGTGCGCCCGCGTTGCGGGAAAGTTCGGGGAACCGGGCTGCCCTTTCGTACCCCAGGACTAACCTCCGCCAGGAGCACGAGTCCCCCTGGCGACACCAGCGACAGTTAAACTGAGGACGCCACGTGGCGTGGGCCGCTGACCAGGGTAACACCGTCAGGTCGGTGTAGGGCAATATCAGAGGTGGGGAGGAGAAACGATCAATCAACACGAACCCACTCCCTCCAATATGGCACGCCCTAGCGGGGTTGAGCCAATGGACTTGCTCAGGTCGGTAGCGCTATGTGGCAGACCGAGTCGAGGGAGGGCCACAAGCGGGAACCCTTGCTCACGTCCGTCGAGGGCAACTCCAGCTCCATGCAAAGGGCGACAGGCTTTTCCCCCTACTTTCTCTTTTTGTCAACCCGTGCACAAAACCAGGGGGTCTCGTCGATCTTGCGGAGATGCCCGCTGGACACGACGAGCGTATGCAGCAGATCTCCCCGGTTATCGATTGCGGGCGTAGGACGACGGTCGCCCGTGTCCCTAAGATCCCGATTCAGGCGCGAAGAGAGGAAGAAAGTTGGTCCGAAGATCGCTTACACTCATGCGCTACGAGGCCAACGGGTTCATAGGGGAAAAGAGAGGGAAGGGGGCAGCATGAGGAGGGAGTACGAGGGCCAACACTTTCATGCATCCATGCAGACAGTCGTCACCCGACACTCCCCAACACACACATCCTTACACGCACTCGCATACATCCATCGGAACTTCCTATCAATCCGCCATGGACCTTCACACTCAACATGCATACAACAGAGTACCCGTCCGTCGAGACATTGCACACATCAGGCAGAGACAAAGCAGCAATGGAGATAAAAGCGAGTTCCTCCTTATACAAAAGCTCGCAGTTGGCTAGCGCCCTGGGCGCAGCCCTCAACCCCTCCTGGACGACAGACCACCATTGCCACAAGGCCCTGCCGCAATCGGTGTCAAATCTCCACCACCGCTCGGTCCCTCCAACAGTCTTACCCCGAGTCTACTGCTAAGCCCATCCTGTGCCGTCACTCCGCCCGTCACTTGGGCTCGTCAAGCCTTTTCGGCGCCGTGGACCCCGCGCATAGCTCGCGCAGCGTTGCAGCCGACATCAAAGAGAGGGAGAGGAAGGGATTGCGATAATTTATAGCGTGGGAGGCGGCGGGTTGTCAGCGCGAGATGTGGGCAGCATGGGTTGTAGATGAGCAGGACACAAGAAGGGCCAGGGTTTCATAAGGATCGGTGGGGGTGAGTTGATCGACCCGTGTGATTGGGGTGCTCGTTCAAGCGGTGTGCGCCTTCCGCCTTCACCACGTTGATCCGAGCATCCCAATCACACAGCCAATCACCTCTCGATGAAGGGTAGAGAGAGGATCGGATTTTGCTCGAGGGAAGACGAAGGGGCATGAAGAAGGGAAGATGGCGTTGGGATGCAAAGCGGGGGAAAGGGTTTATGTGGCGCGCAGGAATTGGAAAACAGCCACGCGCGCAAAAATTCAAAATTCCAAAATTCCTACCTATATCAATTCCTTACTGTTTCTTGGGTTTCTTGGCGCGGCCGTTATTCGGCCGCGCGAGGGATGGCCTTAGGGGCAGTTTTGGAAGAAAAAGAAATAAGTTTTTGTTCCCCGCCCTCCTGTCTCTTCAAGAAGGAAAAAGGGAGAGGAAAAAGAAAGGAAGAGAAAAATAACCCCCATTTTTCCCAATCGCTTAGGCCCCGTACTTCGGGGTTTCCGTGGGATTTTCCCGTAAGGGTACGGGAAACCGCGGAGTATGGCTCCTGGCTTATCACAGGCCTCTCGGATGTCAGACCGCTTTTCGAGAGAGCTACACGACACGGCCAGCACCCGTTGTCCGCCCAGACTCCAGGTGCACTCTAAAAAAAGTGCTTAACTTTCTAAGGTCCTGGATGCCTCCCTAGAAATTCCGCTGCTGCAGGTGGGCTCTCTCAAGAGTGTCCACGGGAGAGAAGGTTCTGACAACTCAAGAAAAACGTTTTCTTGAGTGCATTTCATGAGGTAGTGGAGCAATGATGGATTTTTGTCATTTTCGTGAGTGCAGACTGACAGCTGAAGAACCCGAATTCCAGACCTGGCCTGTAGAGTACGTGGAGCGGTGCCGCACTCAAGAAATGGCCTGTTTCTAGTGGCCTGTTTCTAGAGTAGTGGAGCGAGACCCACTCTCTCGATTTGTATAGAGTTCACAGCCTGCAATGCTCAGGTTTTCTAACGTCCTCCCTCCTACCCCCCCTCCTACCCCAACTCCGTCCTACCCCCGCTCCGTCCTCGTTTTTCGCGAGTGTGCCTCCTGCCCCGACCACCGACCATCAGGAGCTGGCGCTGTCATCTAGCGCTGTAGAAGGGTGGGCTGTCAGTCATGTAGCGCTGATAAATTCGCTAGTACTTCTGTAGTTCTCGAGTCTGGAATAAGTGGAGAGGTGCTTCTTTTTTCAAGAGTTCTAGACCTTTGACAGCTCTAGAAGCACTCACTATGTTTTTCGTGAGTCTAGTGTAGTGGAGAGAGACCCACTACCGACCACTACTCAGGGTACCCCTGCAAGCAGAGCTGTAATGTTCTTTTTTGGTGTTTCGTCCTGCGTAGGGGGCCGAGGTCCCACTCCGTATAGCAAACTGGATTGGCTTTGATGCCGGAATGTAGACGTGTTTGTGGAGGAGTGCAGGGAAGAAAAAACAAATGGGGATTGATCTGCTTTTCTGTATTTCTGTGGAAAACACGTCCAGGTTCTGACAATTAGTCAAATCCTCTTGGCTACCGCAGTAGTGAGACCTTGCCCCGGGAGTGCCGAGGAGCCTCTTCCCCCGAACACAACACCCTCATCATGAACGTATACTAGCTTTCTCTCTCCGGCCCCATACAGTCATGATGAGGGAGCGTTAGGGCATCGCCACACCACTCTCGGAATGTGCAAACTGAGAATGAACTTTGCGCTAGAACACGGCCAGATGCACCCGTCACATTTTTGTCTTTTTCACATTTCGAGAGTGGTGTGGCGAGGCCCTTAGTTGTGTTCGGGGGCCAAGTCCCACTTACGCCGATCCTTGATTTCTGGTCGTTGATCTGCCGAATCTGCGGTCAGAAATTGATCATTCGGCTAAGTGGGACTTGGCCCAGGGAAGTAGGTAACTGTTTCATAAGACATCCAACTCCGTTGGAAGCCTTTTGTTAAAAAAAAAAAAAAAAAAAAAGGGACATCAAACCGTTTGAAAGCTTTTTTGTCAAAAAAAAAAAGAATCCCAACTCCGTTGCGTGACGCCCAAAAAAAAAGGTAGGACTTGCGTTGCGTGACGCCCAAACAAAAAGGCAAAAATAGAAAACGGAGGGCCTGCCGGCTTTCTGGCGGTGGGGTGGCTTTCTCTGACTGGATGACAAACGTTTTTTTTTTTTTTTTTTTTTTTTTTTTTCCGGAAAGGCGGCAAGCCTGGCGAAGTAATCATCATTGAACTGACAGGCCGCAGGGCGCGAGGTCCCACTACCTAGCAAAGAGGATTGGATTGAAGGGATGAATCTGGACATGTTTGCGCAAAGGTGCAGAAAGCCGAGATTGAACTGCTTTTGTGCATCTCTACTTAAAACACGTACAGATTCAGTAGTCTAATCCAATCTCTCTTTGCCATCTGGACATATCAGGTCATTCAGGTCTAACTTCCAACTTCTCTGTTCAGGCCAATCTCTCTTTGCCATCTGGATTCGAACTTGCGTCTGCAATTTTTTTTTTTTTTTAATTTTTTTGTTTTGCGTCTACGGTTTCATACTTCATTCATGTTTGACATTTCAAAAGAAAAAACAATTTGCTGACGAACAAAATGGTTGTTTGCTGGGTCCGATTTCAAACAGTCTGTATATATATTTATATATAAATAGCGGCCGAAACTGAATCGCGGCCGGCGGGAAATCCGGATCGGGACCACGATGCGTCGGACGGCAATACAGGCGGGGCTCGCCGCGCGTTCCTGTCCGACGAGGACAGCAGAGGTAATAATGCGAGCCGCCGCTCACGGGGTCCGCCATGTCGCCCACCCATGGTCATCCTATAACTGTCGCACACCCAGCACTGCGTCGCCATCGCCGTCTTCTTTGCTGACAGTACCATCTTCGTCGCAATCGACGGCCAATAAAGCGACATCGCCTTCGTTGGAGGGGCGATGTGCGGCTGGAGGAGGTCTCTCTCTCTCGGCCGCACGATCATCATCGTCGACGACGAGAGTCGCACGAGTCGCACAACAGCTGGTGCCGGGACGTTTGTCCCGCGGCGCGTGCCACACGCGTGGGCGACGCGGCGTCGCACCGGCGGGGGGCCATTGCTGGCACACTGACTCCTCAGGTGTCGAACATCCAAGAAGAAGAGAAAGGCAGCGGAGGGGTATCGTCACCACCATGGCCAAGGAAGATTTGGTAGAGCCTGTCGTCGCGGAGGCTCACTCCGAACATCAGATGAAGCTCATGTTTGAAGATGAGTAAGACTCCCTGCCTCTCTCTCTCTCTCTTCTTCTTCTTCTTCTTCTTCTTCTTCTTCTTCTTCTTCTTCTCTCCCTCTCTCTCCTTCTTCTTCTTCTTCTATCCCTCTCTCTCCTTCTTCTTCTTCTTCTATCCCTCTCTCTCCTTCTTCTTCTTCTTCTTCTTCTTCTTCTTCTTCTCCTCCTCTTGCTGCCGGTAATGGCCCTTCTTGCTTCTGCTCTTTCTCTCCCTTGTGTGCTGTGGTGTCGTTCTCCATCCGCTCCTCTTCCTCGTCTTGTCCCTGCTGCCGCTGCTGCTTCGTCACTTGCTCCTCTTTTTCTCCTCCCTCTCGTCCTCGTCCTCTCCTATTTCTTTCCTTCAGCTTCTCGTTCTTCGACTGCTCGTCTTCTTCCCCCTCGTCTTTCGCTACTTCATCTGCTCTTCGTCTTCTCCCTTCGTCCGATTTTTCTTCTTCTTCTTCCTCCTCCTCCTCTCCTCTTTCTCCTCCTCCTGCTTCTTCTCCATCCTCTCCTCTTCTCTCTTCTTCTCATTTCTTCTTCTTCCTCTCTCTCCTTCATCTGCTCGTCCTCTCCTTCCTTCCGCTTCGTGTTCTTCTTCTTCCTCCTCCTCCTCTTCTCTCTTCCTCCGGCTTTTTCTCTCCATCTACTCTTCGTTCTTCTTCTCTCTCTTCTTCCTCCTCCTCCTCCTCCTACTACTACTACTACTACTACTACTACTACTACTACTACTACTGCTGCTGCTGCTGCTGCTACTGCTGCTGCTTCTGCTGCTGCTGCTACTGGTATCACCACTACTGCTGCTGCTATTATTAGTACGACTACGACTGCTGCTGCTACTACTGCTACTACTAGTACTACTACCAGCACCACTACCAGTACCACTACCTTCTTCCCCCGAATACAACTTATGGTCATTATAGCTGTATTTGGGGTATCTTGCAGTCTAAATGCAGCTATAATGACCATACGTTGTATTCGGGGGAAGAAGGTAGTACTAGTACTACTGCCACTACTACTACTATAGCGACCACTACTACTACTACTACTACTATAGCGACCACTACTACTACTACTACTACTACTATAGCGACCACTACTACTACTACTACTACTATAGCGACCACNAGCGACCACTACTACTACTACTACTACTACTACTACTATAGCGACCACTACTACTACTACTACTACTACTATAGCGACCACTACTACTACTACTATAGCGACCACTACTACGACTACTAGTACGAGTACTAGTACTACTACGGCGATGATTACTACGACTACTACTAATACTGCGAGTACTACTACTAAAAGTAGTGCTACGACTGCTAGTACTAGTACTACAGTAGTACTATAGTACCAGGTAGTACTGGGCATTACCCTGGTGACAGCTACTACTACCTTCTTCCCCCGAACACAACACCTAATGATTATCGTGACTGTGCATCTAAACGCGGGTCGTGTGTATTCATGAAGACTGCGGGCGTTCTGCTGCCAGTTGCGCTTTTCCCCCCCTCTAGTGTTCACATGTGCGCGTGTGTTCATATGTGTGTGTGCTTGTTGTCCTGTTCGCTATGCACACAACTCCACAAAGAAAGCATGACTGTGGACTTTCACCTCTGCGTGTGCGTGTATGTGTGATGACGTGTGGGCAAGCCTGGGCATAATTCGGTCTGTGAAATATGCACATTGTCATGTGTGCACGAGTGCGTGCATGTGCATGGGCTTGCATGGCTAATGTATTGCGAGGTGCACGAATGACACATGCGACTCTGCATGTGTATGGTTGCGTGCTTGTGTGTGTGTGTGTGTGTGTGTGTGTGTGTGTGTGTGTGTGTGCGCGTGTGTGTGTGTGTGTGTGTGTCTGTTTTGCGGGGGTGCATGAACGCATTTCAGTGTGCATGTGTGGTCTTTTTGCAGTTCCATCTGTCCGTCTGCATTGATCTGGATATGTGCGCATGTGTGGATTGGTGGGTGCGTGCACATGCATGCTTGCATGGATGTGTGCGGGAATGTCGGGGTGCGTGCACCACGTGCATGCTTGTGTGGTTGTCTATGTTGGTGCATGCTCGGTTATGCTTGTGTGCTTGTGTGTGTGGGTGCTGCGCGGGCATGCTTGTGTGCACGTGCATGCATGTCTCCGTGCAGCATTTGTGTGCATGTATGTCATAGTGCAGGCTCCCTCTGTCCTTGTGTGAGTTTATCTGGATGTGGGCACACGTTTGGGTGGGTGGGTGGGTGGGTGCGCACACATGCATGGTTGTGTCCGGGTTGGTGGGTGCACACTTGTGCATGCTTGTGTGCACTGGTCTGTGGGTGCACGTACGTGCATGCATGTGTGCCTGTGTGTGCAGGTGAGTGCACGTGCATGTTTTGTGCGTTTGGTGCATGCACGTGCACCTGGACGTGCTTGCTTGTGTGTGCGAGTGTATGCATGCACGTGAATGAGTGTGTGCGTGCATGCATGCATGCATGCATGTGTGTGTGTGTGTGTGTGTGTGTGTGTGTGTGTGTGTGTGTGTGTGTGTGTGTTGCACATGCATGCATGCATGCATGTGTCCCTGAAGGTGATGCATGCATGTGTTCCTAAAGATGACGGATTTGGACGTTTCAACGTTTTAGTTGGGGGGTGGGGGCGGGGGCTTGGACTGCGGTGCACGTTCTGGGATTTGAATCGGCTGTGTGCATTTTCGGGTCCCCATGGATGGCTTTCACGTTTTGTGAAATGCCCCCTCCCCCACTCGTTTATCAGTTGGGTGTCCCTATTAAAAAAAAGGCTAGGATACAGCTCCGACTCTTTTTAATTTAATTTTCTCTTTTCTATGTATGCAGTGGGAGCAAAAAAGTGCGATTTCACCATTAAAAAAAAAGAAAAAAGAAAAGATGTTATTTTTGGGTTTTCTAGACTGGATTCTGAGTTTCGGTGTCTGATGGTTATCAAGTTCAACGTACGTGACCAGTTTTGAAAACCGAAAAAAAATGTGACACGAGGCCAAATTCCATGACATAGGTACGTACAAAATACAAAAAAAAAAAAGTATGCGCCGTTGGCGGTTAAAATGGAGCACAGCGGCAGTGCAGCTGGTTAAAAAAAAAAAAAAAAAAAAAAAAAAGGAG